TCTTCATTGTTGATATTGGGTTTATATTGCACAGAATGGCTTCCTTTGGACTGTTTAGACTGAGAAATGGTCAGTGACGCTCAAAATCGGCCTAGCGACTAGCAGGAAAGGAGATGTGTTTTCCTGTGTTTGTTTCCATTGTTGCCTGGTTTATAGACTGAAACATGCTTGCCGGAAAAGTTATTGTAAATAACACATACTTTGTGGTTGGTTCCACAAAGTATGTTTTATACAATCTACTGTATCTCCTTACCATATTATGGCATCAGACCATAATGTTAAATATAAAACATACAATACTTAAACTAATGAAATGAAGGACTGTTAACTAATACACTCACCTCTGAGAGGGTATTAGAACAAGCAATCAAGGTACCTCAAAGCCCATGTCCGCCATGTAGACAACACAGGGGTGTGGTGTTCCCACTGGGAGATGCCAAACAGCCAGTCAAACACAAGCGCACAGGTTTCTCACACTGTAACCCAGTATTCCCTTGCCTTAGAGCCAGGAAAAAGGATAATTTCCTCAACAACTGCTCTACTTTGCCTGTCCCTGGGGTTGTCCAGCTGACTAAGAACTGAATGCAAGCACCTCTCAAACACTGGAGGGCCTGGCAGCTGATATAATGCCACTGACACAGATGCCCTTCAATGGTCAAAAGACTTAAAGCATCACGTAAGAGGGTGGTTTTCATGTTTGTTTGACTGTTATGTGGAAGATCAAGTGAAGGAATAAGGAGAAGCATATCCCTGTTTAAAGGGGGGTAGTGCAAAGTATGAGAATGGCGCATGAGAATGGTCCATACCACGTCAGAAATATGAAAAATACAAGATCTTATTACATGTATTTCTATATTTCTCACAGCACAAGTGTGTCGCATTCACAGATTGCATCAGCGTTCCTTTTTAGTGGTGCCACTCCTCATGCTTCACTCAAAAACCAAACATGCGAACTGTGTAGTCTGATTTACAAATTAATGACTTTTATAAGTCATTTTTGAATGAATCATTCAAAAAGGCGTGCGAACTTTGAGATTTCCCAGTGATCCAAATATATCACTGAATGAACTCACCGAGTGGCTACTGAATCCAAAAATGACTCACTTTCCATGTCTCTGAATCATTACTTCAATATAGCCATTAGGCCGCATGGCCATCCATCCATTTTTATTGCTTACCCCTATGAATAAACATGCAATAATATTCATAAGCAGGCATGCCAAATGTAATATTATGACCACAGAAAATGTTAACTAAATATACATACAGTATTTGACATCACGTTTGTATTATGAAAGCTCCCAAAGGTGTACTGTAGACAGAACAATTAGACAAGGATGGAGTTGGTAAGATTTTTAAAATGTTCTTGAAAAAAGTCTCTTATGCTCGTTAAAGATGCATTTATTAAAAAAATACAGTAAAAACAATAATATTGTGAAATATTATTACAATTCAAAATAACTGTTTTGTATTTTAATATATTTTAAAATATGTTTTATTTAATAATAATTTATTCCTGTGATGCAAAACTGAATTTACAGCAGTCATTACTCCAGTCTTCAGTGTCACATGGTCCACCAGAAATCATTCATCTGAAATAAAAAAATATTTGTCTTTAGTGTCACGTTTGATCAAATAAATGCCTCCTTGCTGAATAAAAGTACTAATTTCTTACTGACCCCAAACTTTTGAACAGTATTGTACGTCAGCAAACACTATTCATAGACTTCCTACTTCAGAATTTCTGAGGCCACAAAGTCAATTCTATTTCCACGAAGTCAAGCAAATAATAATGAAAACAGAGAAGCACGACATGTTATGAAAAGCTATCACAAGGTCTCCAGAGACCACATTCCATTGTCATGATAATTACACCTTAGCACAAGTGACTTGTTGAAGGCGTTGAGACTTTGAGCAGAGTGAAAATGAAAAGAGTGATAGTGTGAGGAGGAGGAGGAGGAGGAGGAGGAGGAGCAGAGGGGCTCGGACAAAGTGTGGGGTCTTCTGAAACAAAGCTATGTGCGAAAACGGGGGGAGGGGATGGTGAATGTCAGCACAGACACACACAGCTCAGACAGAGATGAGGGGATAATGGGTCTGACCCCAGACAAAGGGGAAACATTAGCCTCTATATGCCACCCAGGAATGGCAGGCAACAGGAGCCTTCCAGAAACAAAAGGAGAAATGGTGAAACATCGAACGATCAACACCTCCACTGATCGTTTTAATACACAGGACAACATTGGCTGTAAGAAAGTCACTGTTTTGTCCTGAAATCAGGAAAATGAGAAGGCCTCGCTGTTTAGAGAGGTGATTGTTAGATGAGGGGAGAGTCGTAACATAATCTCTTCTCTAATGCTGCTATAACAGATGCAACCAACTCTCCACCCAGAAAAGAAAAAGCACTGCAGCTTGAATTCAAATAAGCTGATTGTTCATGGGTCCGGTGTGAGAGTGTTGCCCAGCCCTCTGAAGGAAAGAGAAGCTGATTGTCCCATGGCTCTTTAGTGTATGAGTGTTACCCAGACTGCAGGGGGAAGGTGGGGGCACAAAGGCCCTCTGTCTTAGGGAAGGAGTGGGTTTACCTGCACCGGCTCTGATTTCACAACACCGCCTGCTCCTGCCGCTGCAGCTGGCCTGCCGAGTGACACTGGGCCAGATACAGTGTCTTTTAAATGTTGTAGTGCAATGTGGAAATCATATGAGAGATAGATGCTAAACCTGTGTCTGGTGCTCATGTTCTAATGGTTTTTAAAATCACATGTCATGCAGTGTGAGATTTAAGATCTGGTTTGTTGTTAAAGTGTCTGTAGACAGGCCCTCTGCTGAGTAATTCACAAAAATATTGTTTGTAATTATTGTAATCTGCTTAAAGGAACACTCCACTATTTTTAAAAATAGGCTCATTTTCCAAATCCCCTAGAGTTAAACAGTTGAGTTTTACCGTTTTCGAATCCATTCAGCCGATCTTCGGGTCTAGTGGTAGCACTTTTAGCTTAGCTTAGCATAGATAATTGAATCTGATTAGACCGTTAGCATCTCGCTCAAAAATGACCATTCCGGCGTAATAATCAAGGAACTTTGTTCCTTGATTATTACGCCGGAATGAGAGTATAGTTCCTAGCCATATCGGCCTAGAAAATCGCAACTTTTCATTTTCCGTCGGTCTTAGTACACGATGTAACTACAGAAGAGTCAAGTTTTAAATAGGAAAAATATAGAAACTCTTTGGTCATTTTTGAGCGAGATGCTAATGGTCTAATCAGATTCAATGATCTATGCTAAGCTACAGCTAAAAGTGCTACCGCCAGACCCGGAGATCGGCTGAATGGATTCGGAAACGGGAAAACTCAACTGTTTAACTCTAGGGGAGTTGGAAAATGAGCCTATTTTCTAAAATAGTGGAGTGTTCCTTTAACTCACCCTCGAGATGTAGATGAGTGTGTTTCTTCACTGGAACAGATTTGGAGGAATTTAGCATTACGTCACTTGCTCACCAATGGTTCAAACCATTGGTTCTGGCTAAAATACTCTCTATCCATAATATTGCTTTCTCCAGTGAAAAAGTCTTGTTTGTATCAGGAGAGAAATATGCATCAATCAAGTACCATTTACAATTGAAAACAGTCCAAAACATTTCTAAACAAATTTGTTGGTGGATTTTGATGTGAGAGGACAACAGGGGGGGTTTTTTTTTCACCGGAGGAAGTGTTATTATGGATTGTGGACTGGTAATCTTGCCAGATGAAACTGTTTAAAATGTCTTTCTTTCTTACAAACATGCAGCTTTTCACTTCACACTGTGTTGTTAATTGATGGACTGGAGTCGCATGGATTACTTGTGGATTATTGTGATGCTCTTATCATCTGTTTGGACTCTCATTCTGACGGCACCCATTCACTGCAGAGGATCCACTGGTGAGCAAGTGATGTAATGCTAAATTTTCACCAAATTTTCATTTTTGCATGAACTATTCCATTAACGTACAGTCACATTTACAAATGTTCTGTGAATTTTCATGGGTGAAATTCAGCCATTTCATGTAAGAGGACAAGGGATTTCCCCCCACAGATTTAGCAAAAGGATCAAGTTGGTCACGCAAATTTGCAGTGTTGACCAACAGAAAGGTACTTGGTTTGAAAGTCACTTCTGTGTAAGCAGTGTTTCAAATATTGCTACATGATTGACAATAGACAATGGACCTTTTTTGCCAGCAAAAAATTCACCAAAATGTCGCTAATGTGACCACACCTTTAGACAAGACTTAAATTGACATGTTATGATGTGCAGGATCTTATCCTTCCCATTCAGTAGATATTTGTGGACATTAAGTTCTGCATACAGAGGTTTTTAACCAAACACGAAAGCAGTAAATGCCATGTGATTAATCACTCTGGAGCTGCAGGAAAATGATAGTCCTGGCCATTGTGGCCCACATTTTGGTGATGTAATGCTACATAGACTCTTGTAGTTGAAGTCCACTGAGGTTGTTTGACCGTTGCGCTTAGGTCTTTTGAACTTTTAAAAAAATATGCCTGCTTCTTTTTTCTTCCATTACACTGCATTTTGTGTAAGTGCAAAAACGCTTTCTATCCTAATGGCCCCCAATAGTGCTTTAGGTCCATATAATAATAAGAATAAGAATAAACTAAGACTGCACCCAAAATCACATACTGAGTATGTACATCTTTTGAATACACCTTTTTCTTTTTTTTATTATATTTCACCTACTACTTATCAGCAAAACCTCAACACCTTTTCAGTTCACTTTTTTTGGAATGGGCAATGCAGCGACAAAAGAATCTTTCACATCGGTCCTATAAGATAAGCAGATTGTCACTGTCTTTTAAGGTAAAACTAGAAAACCACTGCTACTGCAGTGCTGATAGAAATACACCAAATGCAATGCATTTCACCCTATTCAGGTACATTTATCCTGCAAACTAAAATCATGGAACCACTTTGCACACGGTTACAATAAATTCAACAAAGTCTGTGAGAAGAATATTTGTTTATTAAACCCATTGCTTGTTTTTCCTCTTAAAAAGTGCATGCATAATCCCTCTAGATCAAACAAATGCTGCCATCTACTGGGAAAAAATGTCATTGCAAAGTTCCCAAAACCCCTGTAAATTCCTAACAAATGGGGGAAATTCAAAATTCAACTGAATGAAATTTTAAAACGAAGCACTTTTATTTCTTCTCTTTTACCAGGACAACCATACAGTACATCCAGAATAGAAAAATAATATGCACTTTACCAGGTTTGGCTCTTTTCCACTCAGCAGAAACCACCCACTGTAATCATTCTCATCTTTAGTGGGCCAACAACAGGAAAAACAGAAAAAACAAAAGAATTCACTGCCTGCCAACAATTCCAGCGTAACAAACTACTGGAAAACACACAGTATCCGACTCACACTATTCTGACACATTACAATCACTCTGATATGAAGTACCCAGGACTCAGAATGGACATGAGCAGTTCAGTCCGATCAAGCCTGTGCATCTTTAACAGGGTAACTGCCTTGGTTTTGTTTGAAATGACGAAGAACATGGCCCCATTCACACAAAGCTACCCTGGTAGGATTACACAGAGATCACAGAACAAAGCATCAAGATCAAATAAAAAAAATATATATATATACGTCTGCAAGAATATTATTCGGGAATCAAGCTGATATGCATGCGCTAATTAAGATGCATGCGCAGATGTCACCAAAACAAACAAAAGACTTTGAACAAAACGTGTTTTTCGATCATTGTTTGTCATGGAACAATGAAAGAGATCAGAAAGCAGCTTCCCATAGGTCCTAATAAAATCCTAATGGCTGTTTCTAACATTTGATTTAAACATAAATAACTCTTATTGCTAAATAAACTTTGCTAATAACTCACGTACTGGCACAAGTCATTATTTCAACAATGAAATATGCTGATATAGCAACACATGTTAAAATGACTAGCAACTTTTGAAAATGAAAAAAGGCCAAAAACAAGCTTAAATGGATTAACAACCAAAAACGTTTACATAATTCAAACAAATTATTTAAACTTCAACTTGTTAAGTGTAATAATTTGATTCTGAAGAATTCAGAGAATTATTTTTCAAAACCAAAGAATTATTTTTAAAGATAGAATTATGAGGAAAATGAGAGTTTACCTCCAGTCATTAAAACTTTGTACACAGAATGCAAAAAAGATCAAATAAAATTAGTTTCAGAATTGTGTGAGTTTTAAGCTTAACACATTTGAAGAGAGATTAGATGTGGATGAGCTGGAGAGGGACGTTCACTCATCTGAGCCATTAGCTTGAGTTTTTTGGTCACTGTCATCTGAAGGGTCACCCTGCATCAAAAACAAACCACTTACTACACATGATTTATTTTACTACATTTCACACTGATGAAACAAATAAAGGTTCATACTTGTGAAAAAACGCCCTGTATCTCCTTCATGATGGAGTCGAGGCTGGACACTGTGCTGTGGAGCTGTTGTTCATAGCTGCCCTTCTGCTGGTCTGAGGCTCTCAGGTTGTTCTCTGTCTCTCGGAGATTGTTCTTCACCTCCTCCTTCTCCCTCTGAAGGCTGCGGGTTGCTGCTTCTAGCTCTGCTATATGCTTTGAGTCCTCCTCTACAAAACAAAGATTTTATTAGCATATTTAATTGTATTGAGGGTAGAAAATAGTATTGTTTATCAGTTAATGGTAACCATTACAACTGGACAAGGGAAATGTAAATGGCTCCGATGACACTGACTTCACCATATCACTGACATCCTTGTTCAAATACACAATGAAAACAAGACAGATGAGGTTGTTACCCATTTTAACGTCCTGCTGCATGAGCTTCTGCTCGATTTCCTCTCGGGTTTTCTCACTCTTCTCCAGCTTCTGCATCATGCTTCCCACATCCACCATGGATCCCTTGTAGACGATTAGGCTAGACGACTCGCAGCTGTCCTCTGATTCCCGCTTGATCTTCAGATTGGGCAGCAAGCTTTGGTTGCCTGTTGGGGCAAAGAGAGGGATTCGGTCTATTGTAGCATCATGGACGTGTACTCTAGCGTTACAAATAAACTTCTCAGTTCCAGCCATCATTCGCTTTGCACACCTAAAAGGTTGTCTATCAGAGCATCAGAGGTCAATGTGGGGCTAGGCTCGTCCTTCGGTCTGTCCGTTAACTTTCGATAATGGCAAGACTCTCTAACCAGTGGTCTGTTTAACAATTTCTTCACCTGAAAATAAACAAACAAGATACGTTAGTCTGTTATAAATATGCTATATAGCTTGCAACTCGTGTCGTATAGCGTGTCCTGATCAAGCATGATGCAACTAAAAGGTCAAGTGACAAACATCATTGCTTACATTTTCCCATATTATAATTATTATTATAAGTAGTAGTGTTGACAAATTAAATATAATTGTTAAATTTAATAAAGAAAAAAATAATAATGATAATATATTTTATATAACTATTTTCTTATTGTAATAATAAAAATAGTTCTAATATATAATAATAAAAAATAATAATACATATAATTACAAATATTAGTATTAAAACAATAATAGCAAACAAATAATAAGAAATAATATCATCATCATCAACAACAATTACTACAAAAAAATATTCATATTATTGTTATTTTAATAAATATAATTATTATTAAGTAGCATGACTGTTACATCCAAAATTATAATAATAATAATTAGTAGTAGTAGTCTAATTAGAACATCATCATCATTATTAAAACAATAATAAAGACATTCATATCCATATTCTAAAGTAATATATATATATATATATACACATACATACATACACACACACACACATAATTTGTACAACTTTAAATTTATTATTATGAACTAATATTAACATTAAATCAGATAATAAATTATTACTATTAAAATATATCATTATTATAATTACTATAATACATTTATAATATTATATGTAATATTAGTATGTCAATATAATTAAATTAAATTGAATTTTTAAAAAAAATTAAAAATTCAGTTTTTCCAAAAAACAAAAACAAAAAACGTAATATTTTAGGATCATAATGAGTTAATTCATGGAACTTACAGACTCCTTAAACCTTCCCAAGTAACAACTAAACACACAACACTACACCGAAGCAGCACCTGAGCTCTGGAGAGATGCAAGCCCAGCGTGTACATGATCTCCTCCAAGTCCTTCTCCAGCAGGTAGCCGCAGTGACTCTGGTCGAAGTACACAAAGGCCATCAGCAGATCCTTGTTAAACGTCACCATCTGTTTTTTCTTCTCATCCTACAGACAGATTGAAATAATAAAGCATTCCACTCCACTCAGTATTAGAAAGATTTTGTGCTGCAAAAGGAGATTTTGTTGACTCACTTTATCTTTAGATGACCTCTCTTTGGATTTCCGTTCATCTCGCCGGTCGTCTCTTCTGTCCCTGCCATTAGAGTCTTCATCATCTTTATCTGAGGAGCACAAAGAATCAGTTTCTGGATCAAAACTGATCAAAAGTGTGTTTGAGGATCCAGGTGCAAACAGTGTGACCCCTACCATCATCATCATAGTCGTCTGCGTCTTCTGCCTCCAGTGGGTCATATTCATCAGCGTTGTTGTTGCTGCTGCCGTCTTCATTATCATCATCATCTTTGGATTCTTCTCTCTTAATACCCTTCTCCTCATCCTTTACCCAGAAGATATTAAAATGTCCATATACCGGTATATTAAAAAAAGCTTTAAAAAAACGCATTCATTTGAACAAATCACAATGCTTAAGCATTTAACGGACATCTGAATAAATCAAAGAATCTATCAAAACACAGTCCCCACACTTTCTGACCAATCAGTGTCATTCTCCCATGACTTTTCCAGTTGTTCGTGATGCCAAATAAACATTTTCATGAAAAATAAATTAAGCGTAAAACCAGGTGTAACTACAATCACTAATCAATATTCACTATGGAAATTTCCATGACTTTTTAAGCTTTTAATAATTTCCATGACTCTTCCAGGACACAGCTTTAAAATGTCCTGATGTCCTAGGAACTCTTTTGAAGTATTTCCCCCACCTTCCTCTTCTCATCCTCCTCTCTCATTCTCTTTGTGGCCGGCTCTCCGTTTTCTTCATCCTTCTCCTTCTTTACGTCCCTCCGGTCTGCCTCTTTTTTAGCTTTCTCTTTTTTATCTTTCCTCTCATCCTTGCTCGGAAGAGAACTGAGTGTTTTGTAGATCCTGTAGCCAAAGTCTCGCTGAAGCATCTCATTGAATAATTCAGCAAACAAAGACACCTGAAACAGATGCCAAAAGACCAGTGTTATTTAGTATCACTGGAAAACTGCTATAGCTTTTATTAATTATGCTATAGCTTTTGTATTTAATATTTTTCATTTTAAGTTAGAAGTTTAGTAATTTTTTTTGTTTGTTTTTTACTTAAGTTTTAGTTATTTTAGTAAATAAAGTTAAACTAAATGAAACAATTAAATGCTGACATGGCAACTGTTTTTCTTTAATGTTTTATTTCAAGCCACGAAAATGTTTATGGTTTTAGTTTTAATTGTGTATGAATAGTTTTTGAATATTAAGTCCCTCCTTTCACTGCAAAAGGCAACTATTTACAAAAGTGTATCTGAAACCAGAATATTGTAATTATATCAGGCGAAGTCAAGCAAAGTGTCCTAAAACTTTGTAGTTAATAGGTGAATTATTAATTTAAAAAATCTTTAATATGCACAAACATGTTGTTTCACCTCTCTGCAGTGATCCTCACCTCAAAGGAGTGCTCTTTATTATCCTCGAGTCTGTAGTCCAGCAGCACACTCAAGGACATGATGCTGCAGTCGAATTTGCCATTCTTGGCAGCCCAGTTGGGGTGGACGATAATGGTGGGCTCATCTGGCAGAACATAACGTCTCTCTCTGCGCTGACGTTCCTGCTCCTCCTGCCGCTTTCGCTCCTCTTCCTAGAGGGAAACATTTTTTTCCACGTTTGTATGCGATTGATCAGACAGGCTCTCTATAAAAGCAGGATCCTCTGATCTTCTCTCACCTCTCGGTCATCCTCCAGTCTGCAGGACTCATCCTCCTCCACACTAGGAGGTTCAGGTTTCTCCGGCTCCTTGGACTCCTCCACCTGCTCCTCCACCTTCAGCTGTTTGGTGAGGCGAGCAATCAGCTGTGACTTCAGCCCTTTAGAGCTCAGTGTACGGCTCTCCAACTCCTTACGCAAGTCATTGACCTGTGTGCAAATTGGTTTTATCAGCCCTTTAAACAACTCATCTGCTAGCTTGTTGTGCTGTTCTCCTACTCATTTCTATGGCTTTTCCAGTTGATTAAAGTGTTTTTTTTTTTTTTTTTTTAATAATTTTATACAGATTACTGGGGCACTTTTCCATTTCTATGCCAGGGACCACTCTTTGAAACTATGATTATACTTTATAGTGCACAAATGTCCTAAATAACTATTATTGGACAGATTTATGAAGTAAACGCTGGTTTGCGAGCAAGGTTTTCTCTACACAAGCACACAAATAACTTAAAGAAAAGAAAAATTACAAAATGTGCAATGTTTAATGTTTAGTGCTAGAAAAGACTATTTTAAAATTATTGCAACAATGAACCAAAAAAATCTAATCAAATATCAAATGGATACTTTATATCAAATACAATACAATACAGTTCAGTTTTTTGTTTTAGATTTAAATAGTTTTCTTTTATGCTCACCAAAGCTGCATTTATTTAAACAAATTACAGTAAAAACTGTAATATTGTGAAATATTATAACAGTTTAAAATGACTGTCAGTGTCACATGATGCTTCAGGAATCATTCTAATATGCTGATTTAATGCAGGACACATTGCTTATTATCATCAATGTCAAAAACAGTTGTGCTTCTTAATATTTTTGTGTAAAATGTGATAGTTTTTTCCCCCCAGAATTCTTTGGTGAGTATAAAAGAGTAGCATTTAGTTTAATTAGTTGTAATAATGTAAAAGTCTTTACTGTCACATTTGATAAAGTTAATGTGTCTTTGCTCATTAATAAACTATATTTTCATTCCAAACACGACTACTGAATGGTGGTGTACACTGTTCAAAGGGGTATATATATTTTTGTCCAAAACAACTGCTCAACCATTAAGTGTCTAGGTAACACTTTACAATAAGGTTCATTAGTTAACAGTAATAGTTAACAAGAACTAAGCAAGAACAATACTTCTACAGCTTTTATTGATCTTAGTTAATGTTAATTTCAACATTTACTAATACATTATTAAAATCAAAAGTTGTATTTGTAAACATTAGTTAATGCACTGTGAACTAACATTAACAAACAACGAACAACAAACAATGAACTAATGTTAGTATTTTCATTAAGTAACATTATTAAGATGAATAAATACTGTAACAAATGTATTGCTCATTGTTAGTTCATGTTAGTTAATACATTAACTAATGTTAACAAATGACACCTTATTGTAAAGTGTTACCAGTGTCTATAAAAAAAAAAGGGTGTGACTAAACTAAAAACTATTGGTTATTTTAAAAAAGGACAAGTCTTCTATACCTCAGCATACTAAAGAACATCAACTTTAAAGCATTTTATTGGGTCTGTAAAGGGTATGAAGTATTGATGTAAAATAATGACAGTTCAGTCTGTAGCAGAGAAGCTGCTTGTGGGAATCTCACCTTCATGGATTTCGGATCAAGCTTAGCCCAGTGAGTTGGCGTCATGACTTCCTTTGAATCATCTTCGTCCTTATCCTCCTCCTCCTATGCACATTATGTGAAAGAGAGGAAGAGAGAAAAGACAACAGCATGTTAGCACACCACTCTCAGACTCAAAGAAGTTTTCTGAAACAAAAGCTGATCCGTGCAAGAAGCAAGGTCACAACTGTCTCTCATTGTCTCCTCCTACTGAGCTCTTGATTGGGTTAAAAAAAAATATCCACTGCTAGGATACACGGAAGCTCTCTAGCTTTCAGAAACAGATCCATATCCCACTCATCAGCCAATAAATGCCAGTTCTGTGGAATACAAAAAGATAATCAATGACAGTGGGTTCAAGAGATGGACATGGGACAGATGCACTCAGAGAAGGTCTCCAAACCTTACGTCTACATTTATTGCTGCCTTTTTTGGCCCACGTATACTCTCTTTAGCTTGTTTTCTTAAACACCTAGCCAGAACTGTCCTCGGATAAACAATCTCCCTGGAAAAATCACATCCACAAAGGGTCTAGACACAGCCCAATCAGAGAACAGTGTAAATAAAATACAAAACAAAAAGAGACAGACAAGAAACAGAACTCAGAGAGAGTTCGGCAGATATTGAACAGGAAAACAAAACAATCTAAAAACACACAAACATCATAAACACAACTGGCTCTCCAGATTCCAGCATTTATTTCCCAATTGGTCTCATTGGTTCAAGCTTTACAGAGAATTTTCAGATAGGATTTGTTGAAATTAAACAGGAAATTTAGAGTTATTAATCACGGCCGTCAATCATGCATTTGACAGAGCTGGAAGCTGTTTTACCAGTTGACAGGTGTCATAAAGTAGGACCTAAGCTCTTCCGCTGTGTGTGAGACTGCGTGACAGAGGGAGAGCAGGAGGAAATGGGGTGGAGGGTCAGGGATGAGACAGGGATGAGAGGAAGGGATGGTAAAAGTGGGTTCTGTATGATGCCTGTGATACTTGTCTGTTTCTTTCTGTGTTTTGAGTGTTTTGTTTGTCTATTCCTGTGCCTGTGAGAAGCGGAAATGAGAAGAGAGAGATTAGCGTTCAGTGCCTGTTCTCCATCAGCCTCCTTCCGTTCAGCCACGAGTTTCTCTGCCAGCTGCTCCTTGAGTCCACGGGACAGGCCCTCCCACTCTGAGCGGGTAGGAAGACAATGCCAAACATCCGGGAGAAATAAAACCACTGTCTCCACATGTGCGGGGACTGTCCGCCCTTTGTGAGTCTCCTCAGGGCGGTGATAGCGTATCTCTGCAAAACGATACCTGTCGCAAAGGAAGAAGCGCGTTGGAAAGAAACATTCTGTGAGACATCACCCATTTCCCCCAACACACACACACAAAGCTCAGATCCCCTCGACCCCCCGAATGAGACGCGTATGAGAAAATACAGTCTGCAGAACTCCACGGGGGGTTTCTCAGGATGAACGGCAGCCACGCATCAGGGAGGTCGACAGACAGTATCGACAGCTAAACTCAAACGACGAAGACCCCGCCCCCCTGCACCCATCAATCTGAACCCGTTGCTCGTGAAAGATAGCTTACGAACCCCGGGGGTGTGAGAGAAGGACAGATTCAGACACAGTGAAAGCAAGTTAAATATGTAAGATATTTAACACAAGGCAAAGGTCAGAGAGAACAGAAAGTAACGATGGCGGTGGCGGCGACTCCTCTGGCTCTGCTCTCGGAGCAAAAGAATCAATGCATTCACCACATAGAAATAGAGGCAGGACTGCCACACACATTAGCGTAAACATTGCAAAACAAAATTTGAGAAATCAAAATTATACACACAAAAGCATCAAACATGTCAGGAGATACACTGCTGTGTCAAAACCATGCAGCGGGTCACAGACTTTTAGATGTTGTCTGCCTGTCGGCCTTTTTTTTTTACATTTTTTAAATAGTAAAAGATGCACACATGGAGATTACAAGGAGATGCATCGGCACAGACAGAGAAAGGAGCTGTACTTACCACTGGGTACATAAACTCAGATCAATGCCTGTCAGAGCCTTACAACAACGTATGGCTGTCTTTATAAGAACCGAGGCATCGTTTTCCGGGTTGGCCCCATCCAAAGAGGGAGACCAGTGACCCCCGATGGCCATAGCCTCGTCCTTGCCCCGCATCCCCACCAGGAACTGAAAACAGAGTTCAAATGAGTTACAAGATGCTGGGAAGCCACTGAGCGCTCTGAGGAGGACACAGGGAGTGACAACATCAGATGAGCTTATTCCACACCGCAAAGCGTTCAGCAATGGAATAGGACAGAGACACATCACAGTTAGCTCCCCAACACAGACACAAACTCCCCACGTCAAACACAGGAGTGGACAAACATCTTTCAGTGTCCAAGGGAACAAGAAATGTTTCAGTGTACATTATAATTAATAGACTGCAATAGCAGGGTCCTTAAAGTTAAATCCCATTAAACGTTTGAATTTTAGCTAATAATTGTAATAACATTTCAGTCAGAGATCAATTATGGTAAATAGTTCATAAATTATGGTAAATACTGCAAAAAAAAATATATCTTTTACAGCAAGAATGGCATTAAAGATATTTATAATAGGGATGTTCATTTTAACAGTTTAACCGGTTAACCGACCGTAAGAATTTTGACCGATTAATACAATCAGTTAAATGGTTTAAAAAGTCATTTAATTAGTTTTTTTTTCAGTAATTTATCAAAATATTTAAAAAGGTTTGCTGCATGGTTAAAATACGCTATGCGTATAATTTTTTTTTTTTATTATTTCATTCAGAAATAGGCCTAATGCTGACGCGAAATGTTTACAAACATTATAATAAACACTGTAAACATAGCTAGGCTATTTTAGTTCCCCTCACTCCACAACAAATCCTTTCAATTAACAGTATTTAGAAAAGAACTACTCTTTTTAGTCATAAAGATAATCGGAATTGTAAAAGGTTTGCCTTTATTTGTGTACATTCACAATAAAAACAAATCTTTGTGCTTTTGTAAAATAAGCCTAAAGAAAAATAAGATGCCGCTTTCTGCCGTCTGTTTTCCTTTCACACAGCACAAAAAAGAACCGAAACTCTGCATACTAGGCTACTTGTTGCACAGTTTTTCTTTCATTTTCTTAATTTATTATTTAATAAAAAATATGTTTCTCGTATAGGCCTATTTATTCGATTTAAATATATATATATATATATATATATATAGCCTAGCTT